ATTTGATGTTGGAGTCTTAACTTCACCCTGATAGACTTTGAACACATCATAAGTTTAAGACCTATGGACAAAAATCTTGCATTGGGAAGATAACACGGCCTTGATAAAAATCAGAGAAATCTCGATAGAAGAGTGTGCTGGTCTGGACAAATAAATTGCAATGTGAATAACTTTGAAGAAAGAAGAGTCTTGGCGAATTTCAGAGAATTCTTGATGAAAGAATGCATGTGTTGTTCCTGATTAATTTGTACATGAAATTTGTCTTTTTGACATCATTTGACACTCCATTTGAAGTGATGCATTTTTGATAAATTTCTTTTTGAAATATGTCCATTTGATACTCCATTTAAAATGTCACATCCATGTCTCAGATTACCGCTGATGAACTGGGATCTGCATGTTTGAAAAAAAAAGCTTGAATTTCTGCATTTATATTGATTGAATTTATTAGCTCACCTGAGCCGAAGGCTCAAGTGAGCTTTTCTGATCAAAATTTGTCCGTTGTCTCTCGTTGTCATTGTAAACTTTAATAATTACGAAATAGCGAAAATTTAATGGCACCATTGAAAAATCCTCTCTAGAACCAATGGGCCAGGAAAGATGAAACTCATGTGGAATCATTGTCAGGTAGGGTAGATTCAAGTTTGTTCAAATCATGACCCCCTGGGTGTAGGGTGAGGCCACAATGAAAGGTCAAACTTTTAGGAAAAAAAGGTCACAGTCAAAAAAAATATGTAAGCATCCTTAGTTAGTGTAGATTCAATTTTGTTCAAATCATAATCCCCCTTTTTAGGGGTAGGTCGGAACCACTTGTGCATTTAAGCTTTTCAATACTAAACTGATTTTTGCTTTTTTCCAAGCCACAGTACTCAGGTGAGCGAGGTGGCCCCTGGGCCTCTTGTTAAATTTGTATATATGTATACCAAAGTAATCGAGGCATTTGCTATTTGAATATTTTGCAAATAGTTTCTTTGCCATTTTCCTGAAAGTAATTTGCACATTTATTTTATTTAAAGTTATCTGGTAATGTTGTGTTATTGACCTACCCATTTGGTGACAAGAGGTACATTATTATATTGTAATATTTACTCATTGTCGAAAAATCAAGACCAAAAATTGCCAAAAGGGCGGGGTGGGAGATGGAATGTACTAAAATTATGTGAAAATGGATAATAAATTGTGATGATTTTTTTTTAATGGTGTTGTCTTAACATGCACAGGAAGGCATGTTGGAAAAGCCGGATTGACTTCTTGGAGCTCTGTCATATATATGTTATAATCATTGACCCAAATACTGTTCACCAACATTGAAAATACATGTTCAAAATATGGGAGCTACTATATGGCCTATATAGGAGCTCCTATATTTTTGAACATGATTCAGGTCTACATTAATGAAAATAGAGGAAAGATCTTAGAAAATCAAAATTTCCACTTAGCCATAAATGAATAAAAAAACAAGATTTGTTTGTGAAACAATGATGCTCCCTAATAGCAGCTTATGGTGAAGGAAGGTCAAAGTATCTCAAATGCAAGTTAAAGTTCAAAGTCAAGGTATCAAAAATGTAATGTTACCTAAAAGCAGGTCTTGTCTCAAGGAATATGCCTGTAAAATATGAGAGTCCTAGCATTAACTGTTGAAAAGTTATGGTGAAGGTTAAAGTTTTTTTTTCAAAAGTAAGTCAATTATCAAGGTCAAAATAATGGTGTCTAAGTGAAGGTCTTGTCACAAGAAATACACGCGAAATATGAAAGCCCTAACACCAACAGCAACTGTTCAGAAGTTATGGCCAAGCTAAGGTAAAAATTTTGTAAAATTTTGCAAAAGCGGGTCAAACTCCAAGAGATCAAATAAAAGTAGTAGTGTTTATTTATTATAGTGACATGTGTTTAACAAAACAGATAATCACTTTTTACAAACACCTGGCACGATGGACCTATATGTCACCTTTAAGACATACTATTATATACTTGTATAATGTTTACCCAAAGAAAGGTCTTGTCACAAGGAATGCACATGTGAAATATGAAAGCCATAGCTCCAACCAATCAAACATTATCGACAAGGTTTAAGTTTTTTGAGAACAAACAGACAGACAAACAAGGCATAAACTATATGCCCCTGAATCTTTGATTATGGGTGTAAAAAATACTAATGCGAAAGGTCTACTATATTATACAGATTTGTTCACATTGTACCTTAACAAAATTTTGGCCATAATATTGGTTCAAAGTAAAAGAAGGTAAAAATTAGGAAAATCTATGCAATTTTTTTTCCACATCAATATCAGAAAAAAGAGTTAAAATTCCTTAGAGTTACATAAAATTAGATCTTATATGATTATATGCAAAATCCTGTATATGTGTCTTATAATCCATAAATTAAACATGTTATATGTACACATTTTAATATAAAAATGACAGTTATGCATTACCTCCATATGCTAGACCTAGAGGAATTCACACTCAAATCTAGTATTGAAAAAACTTACATGTAGGTAGATTTCCAAACAAGAGGCCCAAGGGCCTTAACAATCACCTGAGTACAATACAACAATTTAGAGGATCCATAAACTGATAAATGAAGCTTTGTTGCCCAAAAGCAAGAAAAATAGTATGATTAGCATCAACAAAATAATTGGTCTAGTATCTATCTGCCCCCCCCCCCCCCCCATTTATCACTATTATCATGCAGACTATTAACAAAATGTCTATTTTTTAACCCCATATTGGCCTCTCTTGGCCTTTAAAGAACATTTAAAAAGATGTTATTTTTGTCTCATTTTTATTCATCCATTATTTCCAAGTCATTAAAACTATGAAAGTACTTTTTGTATTATACAATAAATATTCTTGCATAATTCTCTTATCCTATTAAGCTTTCAAATACATTATTTACATTGATTAATTATCAAAGGTGAATGGCAAAGGGGAATAACTTTGCTCAGCAGAATACAAGTTAATTGAGCCCTGGCAAGGACCAGAACACATGACTAAATGGTCAAGGTCTTCAAAATTCTGGTAAAAATACCCTTGCATATTAAAACTTTTACTCTGTTTGCCTTGAACATCCCCAGAAGCATAGAAGATTTTCAAAGAAATGCATTTTCACGCAGGTGAGTTAAGGCTAGGTACAGGCATTTCTATGCAAATAAACTAATTAAAATGCCTAATGACTACATCTATTATACAGAGAAAGTTAATACTTATTGTCTAATACATACTTGGTACCCACGACATGAGATAGCCAGTACACATTATGACGTCATATTATGACGTCATTGTTTTTTACTACACAAGATTATAATGGATATCAACAAAAATGCTTCAGCGCAAGGACATGCTCTATTTTATTTAACTGAAACAAGGCATATTTAAAAGCAAAATATTTCTAAGATTGCTGGTCTTGCTGCACAAATATCAATAGCACAGTTGTATAATTTCTATTTGTAAAGTTTTAAGTTGAATCAGGGTAAAAATGCACAGTCCGGTATACGTTTCCTCAAATTCTGATCAAATAAGAATATACCTAGGATTTGTGCAGCAGTTTTATTAATCTATAGAATATTCTTCTTAGCATTATACAATTTTTATATAAAATTAATTTGGGTAATCCCTTGCGCCGAAGCAGTTTTGGTGATGTATTTTATTGCCTCTAGTATGTAAGAACAATGACGTCACCATATGACGTCATAATGTGTACTGGCTATAACATATCGTGGGTACTAAGTATGCATAAGAAAATAAATTAAAACTTTCTCAGAATAATAAATATACCTCTAATGCGTTTTTATTAGCTCATTTGCATAGGAACGCCTCTACCTAGCCTTAACTCACATGCGCACTATATTATTAAATAAATAAAGCCCCATCCTTTCACCAGAACATCTGGCCCATTGGCCATGAACTCTTAATTCTGGAAGAAGCACCCTTGCTCATCATAACTATACACTTGTTTCTTTACTTTATAACCAGTAGTAGCAAAAATATTTTGAAAGAAATTATGCATTTTACTATATAATCTATAGAGCCCCCCCCCCCCCCCCCCCCCACAAATCACCAGAACCCCTGACCCAGGGGCCATGAATTTCACAATTTTGGAAGAGGCATTCTTCCTTATCATAACCATGCACTTCCTTTGTTTGAAAAATACCCAGGAGCAGAGAAGATTTTGAAAGAATTTATGCCTTTTCCCTATATGATCAATACAGCCCCACCCTAACACCAAAACCCCTGACCCAGGGGCCATGAAATTCATAATTTCTGAGGAGGCAGCCATGTTCATCAAAACTATGTACTTAGTTTATTTAATATCCAGGAACAGAGGAGAAGATTTTCAAAGAATTAATGCAATTTTACTATATAATCAATAGAGCCCCACCCTAACACCAGAACCCCTGACCCAGGGGCCATGGAATTCAATATTTTGAAAGAGGCAATCTTGCTCATCATAACTATGTACTAAGTTAGTTTATTTAATACCAAGGAGCAGAGAAGATTTTTCAAAGAAATAATGCACTTTCACTATAATTTCTACAGAGCCCCACTCTAGCACCAGAACCCCTGCCCCTGGGGCCATGACTTTCACAATTTTGGTAGAGAGCTCAATGCTTATTACAATCGTGCCAACAGTTTGACTGCTTGATGTCCAGGAGTAAAGAAGAATATTTTTAAAGATTGCATTAATTTTGGTGGTTTTAGCCCCACCCCCTCAGGCCCCATGGGGGCAGGGACCATGAAATACACAATTTTTTTCCTCTTCACCCATAGATGCTATATCCCAAATTTGGTTGAAATTGGTTAAGGGGTTTCAGAGAAGAAGCTAAAAATGTTCAAATGTTAACACACAATGCACGACGCACACTGCACGACAACGGACAAAAACAGATAGCAATAGGACACCTGATTGACTTAGGTGACCTAAAAATATAAGCACAAAACAAGACTCAAGTAATTAATTTATTATATTTTTCTGGCATAAACTTTTTTTTTCTTAAATCAATTCACACAAGAGAGAAATGAAATATCTCTAAATTCCATTAACTTTATATATCAGTGTCCTGTTTGTGTGGGATTTTTATCTGCTATTACATCTGTACATATTCTGTATTGCTAATCTTGAAATGCTTAAAGACTGATATCATGGACTCTGCTCTCTCAAATTAGATAAACCATCAAGTCAAAAGCTTATAGGCTCAGTGTTACAGAACTAATAGTACAGAATTAAGTGATGGCAAAAGGTCTGACAGTCTATTAATCCATCTGAATCTAAACAGATCTTTCTCCTTCTTCAGATCCTTTTCTTTCAAACAAAACTTTTTCAAAGTTGGTTATGACGTCATCAATAGGAAGTACTGAAATATAACAAAATTAATATTTCACCTGATTGTTGATGAATTAAATAACACATTACAAGAGGCCCATGGGCCACAGTGCTCACCTTAGTCACCTTGGTCCTACACATGTAGTGTTCTGGTTCTGAAGAATTTTTTAAAAATGTCCCTTTTTTCCCAATGAAAAATGACCCAATATTGTGGCCTCATCTTAGCCTAACTGTTTATAATTAAATTAATTTTAACCCCAATAACATGTCCTGCTGTCCTTCTATCACACTTTGAACTTCATATGCTAATACATATAAATTATTAATGAGAGCTACTCAACAGCATGAACATTTTTTGACCTTGACATCACTTTTCTTAAATTTTTCTTTAGTTCAGTTTCAAGAGCTATTTAAGATTTTTTTTTTCAAACCTTATATATTATGTGCTGATACATATTAATGGGATCTATTCAATGTCATAATAGTTATTTTACTTGACCTTTCCTTTGACCTTGACCTCACTTTCCTTAAATAAGTGAGTAGCTCAGTTTCAAAGAAACTATTCAAGAGATTTTGATTAATCTTCATATTCTTATACATATTGATAAGAGCTATTCAGTTGCATGAACATTTTTAATCTTAACTTTTTTTCAAATTTGTGTTAAGCTCAGTTTTAAAGAAATAATCATGATATTTTTATCAAACTTTATACACTGAATCATTTTGAAGAGTGTTTTTGAACTGCAACAACAATTGTTGACCATGACTTTCCCTTTGACCTTGATATCACTTTTTTTCTTATATAAGCACATAACTCACTTGTAACAAAACTATTCAAGATATTTTTATGTAAGATTTGATACATAATTTGTTGAGAATTCATCAACTTTGTTAATTTTTTTACCTTGACTGTTCCAATGACCTTTTCTTTACTTTTATTGTATATGTTCATAAAACTAAGTTTCACAACAAAAAACAAAAAAAAAAAAAAAAAACAAAAAAAAAAAAAAAACAAACAAAAAACTATTAAAGATATCATCATCAAACTTCATACACAAATTTTCATGTTGCATTACTAATATACTCTGGGTGGGGATTCATGTCCTATGGACAAACTTCTAGTTAGTAGTATATTCCCAGGCAGATTTTTAATCCCATATTTTGGCTCGATCCTCTCAAAGGGGGGTGTTAATTGAACATGAAACTACACTATGTCAGGGAACTTTCACATAAGTTTCAACTTTTCTGCACAGTGGTTCTTGAGTGGAAAATTTTCAAATGACACCACCAAACTTTAACTTTTTCTTAATTATCTCCCCTTGGCCCTTCATTTGAATGAATTTAAATCCTCTCCACCCAATATTGCCTTGTGATAAATTGGGTTGATTTCTGGACAAAAAAATTTGAAAAGTTGAAAATTTAGAGATGACACACAACATTTATGACAGATGCCAGACACTTTCATCAGAAAAATTCACTTGAGCCTTAGACTCAGGTGAGCTAAATTGTAAATAATTAATTATTAAGTAGATGTCTGTTTTAAACATATCAAAAGAGTGTTAATCTAAATATAGCACCTACTAGATTGTGTACATCCTAAAATTTATATTTTCCGCAGAATAAATTAAAAAAAATCTCAATGTAAAAATTTGCAAGTACCCATTACATTTTCTTACCCCTCCCCTCCCCCGGGTAAATCTGCCAATGTAATAAATAAATAATTTCTTAATTCTTTCTAACCATTATTGTCCTTTTTACCTCTGTGTTATCCATCATTCTTTGAGTGGAAAATCTTTTTCTTTCATTACAACATTGATTTCTTTCTTTAAAAGCTGCCTTTAAAAATCAAGACTCTGTTGCTCCTAAAATTAAATGTGCAAATAATTCAAAAACTATAGCATAATTTCTTTTTCTCATGGTGACTGATGATTGAACAAAAAATGTGGAAATTCTCATATTTAGAACTTTTCATGGCAGTGGCTGGAAAAACAGAAGTGAACTTTTTTTTTGTTCAAAAGGTCATTGAGCAGTGTCTTTGGCATGATTGGAACAAATTTAAAACTACACTACATGAGGATGCTTCCATATTTCTTTCACTTATCATGGCTTTAGAAGATTTTTATAGATTTTTTTTCCCCTAAAAGTGGGTACTTTCTTTGAGGCCCCACTCTACCCCCAGGAGTCATGATTTGAACAAATCTAAATCTATACTACCTAAGGATGCTTCCAAATAAATATCACCAATCATTGCTTTGCTGATCTTGAGAAGAAAATTTTTTAAAGATTTTTTCCTATGTATTCTTTTGTAAAACTTTGATCATCCATTGTTGCCCCACCCTAACCCCTGGGATTATGATTTAAACAAATTTGAATCTACACTACCTGAAGGTCTTTCCACACAAGTTTCATCTTTCCTGGCCCAGTGGTTCTTGAGAAGATTATTAAAAGATGCCATTAATTTTTCACTAATTTGTAATTTACTTCCCTTTAGAAAAAGGCATGGCCCTTCATTTGAACAAACTTGATTCCCCTTTACCCACGGATACTTTATGGCAAGTTTGGTTGCAATTGGCCCAGTAGCTCTTGAAAAGAAGTCGAAAATGTGAAAAGTTTACAGACGGACAAAATGTGATCAGAAAAGCTCACTTGAGACTTTGCCTCAGGTGAGCTAAAACCAATCCAACACACGCCTGATTGTGTTTAGTGATTTGTGCAGTTAACTGGTAGTTAATTGAACATACCAGGTAAAATGTAAAAATTAACAATAACATAGGTTTTGCTCATGCTAACAAACATAGGCTCAAGTTAACAAACATAGGGTCGCCTGCGTGGCGCAGTGGTTAAAGCATTTGCTTTAGAGTCGCAGAGCAAGGAGTTGATCCTTATATCACGGGTTCGTATCCCATTGCGGGAGGTGGAGACCGGTCTTTCGGAATAGACCGTATAAACCTGTGTTGCAGTAGGTGCTGGCACGAAAAAGATCCCTCACTGCTCAATGACCCTGAGTGCCGAGTATAGGTCCATATGAGTGAAAAATTCTCAAGAGGGACTTTAAACAACAAACAACAAAGACACATACATAGGTGTTTGGAGCCATATTAAGAGAAATGTTTTGGTCCAATCATAGATAACTACATAAAATCAGCAAATCAAGACAAGTCATCAATGGTCAGACTTTCAACTGACAGTAAGACTCGATGTAAATGATTTACTGCAGAGAAAATTCAAGCTAAAACTGTAAAATATGAGCATATACTGTTAGTAAAGATATATCTGTTAGTAAAGATATATCATATAATTTATCGCCACTTTATCTACATATGGAACATAAAATCACCATGCAATCTCCATCCCCTATACAAAGGTACAGAGATAATTCGAACTAGTTTCTTCGGAAGCCGTAGTTCAATTACAATATGCTGACAGCTGATTTCTGAGACATTTCCTTTATCGAATGAATCACTTACTTGTACATTAATATCACAAAATCATCTTTACTTACCAGCATACCGCCTGACTTTCACTGGCACGGCCGCACTGTTGATGGCCTTGAGTCACGTGATTATCTTCGGCAGACAAACGTTTCCTTTTTCAAGCGTCCAAATAATAATCTTTCTCGAAATTGGTGAACGATTATAATTGTGCTGTGCATCAGAATCATACAAACGTTTGAATTTGTCAAGCGTCTAAATAATAATGTTGCATCTTTTCTGGTCGAGATTATTATTGTTGAACATTATAATTATTGTATGATCGATGTGGAATATAATTGTTATAAATTAGAGGCGAAATAAAAATAATGTGTACACATGGACAGACAAGATTATAATTATTAAGTAAGAATAATTATTATAATTTTGAGGCGAAATAAAAATAATGTGTGTAGACATCGACTGACAAGATTATAATTTGGAGGCGAAACAATATAATGTGTCCACATTGACTGGCAAGATTATAATAGTGAAGTGTGAATAATTAAAATTTTAGGACAAAATAAAAATAATGTGTACACGTGTGGCAGACAAGATTATAATTGTTGCAGGAAAATAATAATGTTGTAAAGAAAAACCAAGATTTTTATTTTTGGAAGAGATAATTATTTTTGGTATAATTATATAGGAAAAAATAATAATAATGTGGGGGTACCCTACGGCTTTCCATAAAATATAACCTCACGATCAGTAATTAATTTTAATAAAATTTATATTGCATTTTTTTCCGTAAAGGGATTGATTTTCTTGCTTATGATTTAGCAATAAATTTATTTTATTCGATTAATTAATGTTCCCTCTATACTATGCAAAGTTAATAAGTACACTGCAGGTAAGAGGATGATTATGCATTTTTTTTCGGGGTCGAGGAGAGGGGATTACCGAGATCTTACTGGTGTATCGGTAAATCTTACATGGCTAAAGACCGCTGGAATGCGTATCATTACCGCTACATTTTCAAAACTGTCATTACCGCTACATACTCATTACCTCTACAAAAAAGGTTACATTACCGCTACATTTAAAAGTATACATCACCGCTATACACATACATTGCCTCTTTCGTTAGTCAGCGGCTTATGCATGTACAGAATGAGTAATGTATAAAATAATACATGCATAACATCTCTTTCCCTTGCTCACCACGGGAAGGTGAGAGTAAGACTCTGAGTAGGATTGTTTTGTTTCCAAATTTTTATTCAAAATCTATTTTATTTAAATTAAACATTTTAGAAAGTTTTAAAACCGAGCATCGTTCAACAGTTCAAGGATAAAACATACAGTCTTCACATAACTCTGGAAATCTCTTACATTATTGTATAATGAATAATAATAAATAGAACTTATATGCAGTGGCATTGCTAGATGATTCGATATGTAGCGGCAATGACTTGTAATAGGCAATTGCCTTCTTGAAAAAATGTAGCGGTAATGATCACCCGAAATTTCGAAGAAATGTAGCGGTAATGATAACCCCCGGGGGGTTATAATAAATAAAGGAGGTAAGTTGAAAAAAAAAATTAGCTCTCTTTACATTTATATAAAATAACAACAATATACCCACAACCTTGTAAAATCCTTCATTTCAAAACTCAGCTAGACGGGAAATGTTATTTCAAAATAGTCACGGAACTCAGTTATCAATGCAATGTAGGTCTGTAGGTGTATACATGTCTAAGTACATTATATGAAACCTCAAATATTTAAAAAATTACAAATTAAAACTGCGTGATTTATAAAACAACTTATATGTAATTATTTATTTCTCAACTTTTTTATTCGATATTTATGAAAAGACTGCCAAACAAATCACTGTTTACAGAAATTCGGATCGGTTAAAAATAAAATCCACGGGTATTACATGTGTGCCCATAAAACAAAACAAAAAATAAGCATTTTTAACATAAATCACAACTCAATCGTTATTCTCGGATGTATTTTAGCCATGATTGACAAAAAGATAAAAGCAAAACAAGTTTTCAGTTCCCTGCATGCAGAGCCCGTGTCGCTGTTGTAAATGACCTTGGTCACAGTCGTACATCGAAAGAAGGAAGTTGAAGGTGTAAATTTAGGTGGTGCATCCTTTGCACCCATAAATAAAGTTTATTTCTTTATACAAAAAAAGTTATGTTATTTAACACCTATTACCTACAAAATGAAAAAAAAAATCTGCGTTTTCACCCCCCCCCCCCCCCCGGGAAATATTTAATCTTGCCTTCCTCAATGTATGTTAGTTATAACTCATTTATTTCTCAATTTTTAATCAACCAATTTTATGTATTAGAAGACTATTAATGACACACACCTTTAAGTAAAATTATTTAATACAAGTCCTGATAAAAGTTTGTTTGTGGCTTTCTTTGAAAAAATAAAATTAAACAAAAAATATATGATCACACCGCTAATGCATTGAAATCATTAACATTGTTGCACACACACTGTAATTAATTAAGTTGAGCAAATTTCCTGTCCGTCTTTATTTTTAGAAAAAGATAAACAAAATAAATATACATTACCGTGTAATTTGATTTTGTTGCTCTCGTATTTTTTTTATTTTCACTCTTAAAATGCATCCAGAATAATATATCCGAATAATCTTAGGTATAAACAGCACTATTTGACATCCTTACCCTTCGACAGGCATATTTAAAATGAAATGACTTCCGAATGAATCCTACACGTTTCTCACACGATTCTTGCACGAAAGTCGCACGTTTCTTACACGGTCCTTACACAAAAGTCGCACGTTTCTCACACGCTTCTCGCACGCTCGCTACACGGTTTGCACGAAACGCTTTGGAGCTTATAAGAAACGCTGAATGGTTTACACGAAACGAAAAGCGCACGAAAGTTACAAACTTTTTAGGTCACGTGAGTCACTCAGGTAACCTATTGCTTTCCGTTTTTGTCCGTCGTCGTGCGTCGTGCGACGTTCGTCGTACGTCGTCCGTCGTGCGTTAACATTTAAACATTTTCAGTTTCTTCTCTGAAACCGCTCAACCAATTTCAACCAATTTCGGCATATAGCATCTATGGGTGAAGGGGGACAAAAATTATGAATTTCGTGTTCCCTGCCCCCTGGGGCCTGAGAGTGTGGCTAAAACCACCAAAATTAATGCAATCTTTAAAATCTTCTTCTTTACTCCTGGACATCAAGCAGTCAAACTGTTGGCAGGATTGTAATAAGCATTGAGCCCTCTACCAAAATTGTGAAATTCATAGCGCCAGGGTCAGGGGTTCTGGTGCTAAGGATGGGTATTAGATAAACTAAGTACATAGTTATGTTATGCAAGACTGCCTCTTTCAAAATT